AAGTGACAAGAAGAGGACGTGGTCTGTCCTTCTGAGGAGAGTAACGTCCAAGACGACGACAATCCCTGATCACATTCACAGATACCCTATATTGAAGACGATCAAATACAGAAGCAACATTGTTTATGTCAGAGTCAAGGCAATTGAGATGGGAGGTGCCTCTTGGACACTCAGCAATTCCACTAACAACCACACTAAACTGTGATGAGAGACTGTCACGAGTAGGGGAGGAGTTAGGAGAGGTAGGGGAATTAGACAAAGGAGACTGATTAGATGGACTGGATGAATTGGGGGCTGCGGGTGGTGATTGATCTTGGGATAAAGTAGCTACTTCTTCAGTCAGAGAAACCGTTTTGGATTCGAGGGCAGAGATAGCTGATAAGAGTCTACTCTCCAGATCAGCTAAGGACTTTTTGAGAGAAGAAATTTCGCCAGATTGGTAGTTTAAGCGACAAGAGGGACAGTGGAAGTGACCAGAACTCTTGGTTTTGGTAAAGGCAGGTCGAGTAAGACCAGCACAACCCCTGTGAATCCACGTGTTACAAGGGCCATTACAAAAAATAGAATCCTGTGAGTCATCATATACGGCATCCTCACAAATAGGACACTGAAACGATACTTTCTCGTTACCTTTTGAAGTAGAGTCACTCTTATTAGAGCCGGATTTATTAGCCGGCATTGTGACACGTGGCCCTTCGGTACTAGATTCTCTCCTTGTCCACAGACTACAAAAGAGTGACAAGAGAAAACACTCGAACTGAGATTGACAAACCTGATTTACAACCTTCTTCTGCAGTCTTTTCAATCTTTTAGAGACAAATTGGATGCCATTTTGTGGGTGTGGTTAATAACCTGACCAGGCAGACCATAGATATTAGAGTAATTTCATTTACTCTAATATCTATGGGCAGACCAGCCCAGCCACTGGCAGCCAGGCATGGTGTGACTATAGTAGGGCCACACTGACTTTGCCACTCATTATAAATTCAACCTTCATAGGTCATCTTTTAAGTAGCTGTCAATTATGAATAAGTGTTTGTTAAGTATTTGTTTATCTTAAAGTTTACCACTAAAATTGTGGCTAAAATTGAGCTAAATTGTCCGCCATGTTAGGTGGCAAGAAGGCCAAGAATGAATGGGGGAATGGCGAAAAAAATTAAATAATTTCTGCAGTTGACATTCCAGGCTAATGCAAGATAGGAGATGAAGATATTGACTAAAGAAGTCTCTATAATATTCTGCAGCGAAGTATGATATCTCTTTGATGAAAAATCGCAGTTTCTTTCCATTCGTTGCGTGTACATTCTTGCCACTCAAGATGGCCGAAAGGAAGCTCACCTACCCCGTTGATTACATCCGTGCAACAGCTCTATTATTAAAAATAAAACTATACTAAAATAAGACATAAAAACATCGTCAAATGTCTTTGTCAGCCCTGGTCAGAGTCAGTTGCAGCCACAATTATCATTGAGAGAGGCATGCAGAGTTTTGAGTGGCATCTATCTCACTGGTGGCCGGGAATCAGTCATCGGATCAGGTTCATCACTGGATTCACCACTGACATAAATCACAAATAAACTCAAACACACTAAGTCTTGCTTGTACATCAAGTCTGTAATTCTGCCAGTAGTGGCCCTCACCAAAGAAGAGAACTGAAACCATCTGAGTACACTGAACGGCACGGTCAGTTTCACTGTTATAAAACAAGATAACTCACTTGTAGCGCCTTCTATCCTCTTAAATGTTGCTTATAATTGTCTTCATATGTGATTTAAGTCATATTCCTTGTCCTCTCGTCATATTCCCCTCAGTAAGCTTACTGCCCACGTGTTCACGAAGCGTAGGTGTAGTAATGGCGTAAGTACTCTCTAAGTGGCCTCATGCTTTGATTTTTTTCTTTCACTTTGACAAGCTTCGCTCTACTATTGTCTTATATCAAAGGAACCGAAAATCCAAGTAATGCACAACAGTGAAACACCGCAGTTTATAGCACATAAAATAAGAAAGTTATTCAAAATTTAAAATGGCAAAGTCAGTGTGGCCCTACTATACCGTATACTGGCATAGATACTATATACCCCTGGATATGAAACACGGCCCGACCGGATGTTCTGAGGCTTGTTTCACGGGAAATACGTCATATTACGTTTTTCATTCAGAATAAAAATAAAACAATCATAAAACGTATTATTATTGCTAATAAAAGTGTGATTTTATGTACAATAATACAATAAAACTTGACATTTATCATGCATTATAATTGCTAAAGCTTTCCTTTTCTTTTAGTATATGCAGTCTACCAATGCATGACTTTCCCATCTCTTGTCACCTAAAAATGATGATTTTGACAACACAATTGCACTAAAACTAAAAATACACTCCTTTTGAGAATAGGCCCACTACAACTACCTATTCTCAAGCTACAAAACCATATAGAAAAAGTTCCAATTAAGTCAAGTATTACAAAGAAAAATTGTGTCACAGCGTCTTCTCTATAGATTCGGGGATGCCGTCCAGCCCGTCTATATAGTTGCTTCCTTAGTAGTCAACTCAGCTCCGGATTCACTAGTTAGCTCGCCAATGCCGGGCTCGCTATCAATTTCACAAAATATATTTCAACAGAATCTCTTTTCTAATAATATACCAGCTTTACTGGTTCAAACAATAATAGCAAATAAAGATAGATAGTGCCACACTATCTCCCAACGACTCAATAACACTCAGACTACGCTCACACACTGCCACACACTGCCACACACTCACACTGCCAAAATGGCTCACAAAAAATTACTCTCTTATTGTTGTGTACTAACGCGTAAATAGACCACGAAATATAAGGATCGCCATACCGGTTCGGAGGATTCCGTGTTCGAGACGAACGACGAGTAGTAACGGTAGGCGGAGCAGATTCTCGGCTCTGTTCCTCGTCTTGAATAGGAGATTCTGTCATACGATCAGGAGTAGTCGAACAAGACAGTGTATGAGAAGCAGAATGGGAAGTAATAGTTGTATCAGCAGAAAGCTCTGGAGTATCAGGTGGTATGTTCACAGTAGGAGCAGTGTTAGTAGAATCTTCATTATTAGAACTCACAGGGATATCATCATGATCCAACTGCTCTTCATCTGCTTGATCATTAGAGTCTGCATACCGTTTAATCAGTTGATCAGTATGCTTACGCACCTGACGACCATCCATTAGAGCTACAGTAAATAATACATTCCCACTTGACTCCACAATCTTACCAGGTAACCATTTTGGACCTGTAGCATAGTTTCGAGCATACACTAAGTCACCAACTTTAAAATCTCTTTGATTCACACGAATATTATACCAATTCTTCTGATGCTCATTATTACGAATAACCTTCCTAGACAAATCAGGCTTTAAAACATCAAGATGTGTCCTTAATCTACGACCAAACATTATATCAGCAGGAGCAACACCAGTAACAGAATGAGGGGTAACATGGTATTTAAACAAAAATCTAGACAACCGAGTCTCCAGAGATCCCTTCTTCAACTTCTTTATGCTATCCTTTAAAGTCTGGACAGCTCTCTCTGCAATACCGTTAGAGGCAGGGTGATAAGGCGGAGTTCTGACATGCTTAATGCCATTCCTCTTCATGAAGCTTCTAAATTCTTCACTAGTAAAGTTGGCAGCATTGTCTGAAACAACTACCTCAGGCAAGCCCAAAGTAGCAAATGATCTCCTTAACAACTCTAGAGTAGCTGAAGTAGTAGTAGAGCTAGTCATGTGAACATCTAACCATTTAGAATACGCATCTACCACCACTAAAAACATCTTTCCCTTTATAGGCCCGCATAATCTATATGGATTCTAGACCATGGTTTGTCAGGCCATGCCCATGGATGTGAAGGGGTTACTGGGGGAGACTTCCTCTGCAATTGACACACATTACATGCTTGCACACACTGTTCAAGCTCATGGTCCATATTTGGCCACCAGACATATCCTCGTGCAAAGCTTTTCATTCTGACAATTCCAGTGTGACCCTCATGCAATATAGATACTAAGGCTTTTCTCCCTTTATTTGGAATGACTATACGATTGCCCCACAATACACAACCCTCGTCCACACTCAGCTCATACCTCCTCCTTATATATGGTTGAAAGAGATTGTTTCCATCCCCCTCTTTAGCAGGCCAACCAGTAAGTATCCAATCCCGTACTCGAGACAACACCGAATCTCAATCCGTCCACGACCGAACCTGAGTACTAGTTACTGGGGAGGTGTCCAAATATTCCAGTAGATGAATGACATCAGCTGGCTTAGGTGGAGAGCTAGAAGAGACTTGAAGTGGGAGGCGACTCATAGCATCGGCACACACATTATACTTGCCTTCCTTGTAAGTAATAGTGTAGCTATACGCTCCAAGAGTGAGAGCCCACCTCTGAATACGTCCAGATGACAACACAGGAATTCCCTTCTTTTCATTAAATATATATGTCAAGGGCTTGTGATCCGTTTTTAATTCGAACGGTCTACCATAGAGATATTGATGAAACTTCCAGACTGCGAAAATGATGGCCAACACCTCCTTCACTAATTGCGAGTACTTCTTCTTGGCCACCGTTAGTGTGCGAGAGGCAAATCCAATAGGACGCTCCTCACCACTTGACAGTCTGTGAGCTAGGACAGCACCAACTCCGTAAGGAGAGGCGTCACATGAGAGAGTTAACGGTCATCAAAATGAATCAGTACTCTGGAGGACTTCAGCAGCTCCTTAATCTCTCTGAAGGATTTCTCTTGTTCCTTTCCCCATGACCACTTCTTCTTAGCATGTAGCAATTCATACAATGGTGTGAGTGTTGTAGCAAGATCAGGCAAAAATTTGCCATAATAATTGACAAGACCTATGAATGAACGTAATTCACTCACATTCGATGGAGCTGGAGCATTTGAAATGGCTTTAACTTTAGATTCGGAAGTCTTCAATCCCTCTCTACTGATTGTATGGCCCAAATACTCAACTGAGGACAGTAGAAAACTACATTTCTCTTGCTTCAATCTCATTCCAGATTCAGCCAAACGCTTGAGGACTTCTGATAGACGAGCAAGGTGCTCTTCTTCAGTGGAACCTGCAACTAAAATATCATCAATGTATACACATACCCCTGGGATCCCTTGTAACAAGGTGTCCATTACCCTCCAAAAGATTGACGGGGCTGAGGCTATCCCAAAAGGCAATCTGTTGTACCTGAATAACCCCTTATGTGTATTAATTATAGTGTACTCATGAGACTCCTCCTCCAGCTCTATCTGTTGATAGGCATGTGATAAGTCTAGCTTGGAGAAACACATCCCACCAGACAATGAAGCGAACAAGTCTTCAATACGAGGAAGAGGATACTTGTCTAACCTTGCCACTCGATTTGCAGTGACCTTGTAGTCCCCACATATACGAATGGATCAATCTCTCTTGAGCACTGGAACTATTGGAGCAGCCCAGTCAGCGAAACGAACAGGTTCAATAATGCCATGTTCCTGAAGGCGGTCTAATTCAGCTTCTACTTTAGCTTTCAATGCATAGGGGACAGGACGGGCTTTATGAAATATAGGCGTAGACTGGGGATGTACAAATATCTTAGCTTGCACTCCTTCTACTTTCCCGAGCCCTTCATTGAATACTTCCCCAAAGCATGCTAGTACCTCTTGTAAAGAGCGATTGGTTTCTACTTTAAACACATTCTGCCAATCTAATTTGAGCATTGACAACCAATTCCGCCCAAGTAGTGGAGAACCCTTGCCCTTCATTACAATCAAAGGCAATGTCATACTCTGACCATTATGCTGTACAAGAACCTCAGTGGAACCCAATACCTTGATTGGTTCTCCCGTGTAGGTATGAAGCTTGGCTGTGGAGCGTTGAAGAGGCTTCTCAGGATCTTGAACTAATCGATAGGTGTCTTCTCCCATTAGAGAGACAGATGCCCCTGTATCGATCTCCATCTCCACACTAACTCCATTAATGAGAATGCTTGCTAACAGAGGTTTGTTTGAGGCGTTACCAGCTACTTTAAACAAGGAATAGTCTTCACTCTCCTCCTCACTCCCAACGACATTTGTCTGTGCTTGATCTTTACTAGAGTCAGTATCACCTTTGTCTTTAGCTTTCTTCTTGCGACAGACTGATGCTAAATGACCCTTCTTCTTACAATAGTGGCACTCATAATCTCTGAAACGACACTGAGATGCTATGTGTTTACCACCGCAACGATAACAGATAGCTGTAGATGTGCCCTCTTTCTGCTTAAGAGACATCGATTTCCCCTTTACATGATTAACAGGGAGCGTTGAGTAGGGATTATGATGTAATTGCTTTGAATTATTAGTAGCTGCTTCGGCTGCTAAGGCAGTATCCAAGGCTGTATCATATGTCAGCTTAGATTCTTTAAGTAACGTACGTTGTACTGCCTTGTCCCGAATCCCACAAACAATACGATCACGGAGCATGTCGTGAAGTATAGTCTCTGGATATAAACAGTGCTCTGCAATGTTTCTCAATGCAGCAACAAAGACACCAACAGATTCACCCTGTTGTACACGAGTGTTGAACTCAAAGCGCTTAATAATAGGAGAAGGCTTAGGATGGAAGTGACTCTGCACATTGGTTACTAGCTCCTGAAAGGAATAATCGGTCGGCTTCCTCGGCAGTGACAATGTCTTTATCAGCCGATACGTAGAAGGACCCACACTTGTAAACAGAATAGCTCGCTGAACGTCAGCATTATCTATACTGTTAGCCACGAAATAGTGCTCGAGCCTCTCCGCGTAATCCACCCAATCCTCCTGGGAAGAGTCAAAAGTAGTAATGGTTCCATGATAAGTAGCCGCCATCTCTTCTCCTTCCTTTCACTGCTTCCTTTCACTCTCGTCGCCAATTGTTGTGTACTAACGCGTAAATAGACCACGATAGTGACCGATAACAATTCTCAGTTTATAAAAGAAATTATCTTTGTAACAAAACAGTACACAACCAGAGAAGTAAAATAGCACGTGCAAAGATAGACAATGGATACACACAAAAGAATAAAAGAGCCAGTTGCGCAGGCCCAGGTAATAACTATAATAGTTACTAAACAAAAACAATAATTACACAAATTAATAAAACATAACACTTATATACAAAATACATTCATGAATAATAATGAACTAATAATTAATAATAACTGACAATCAATAAGCACAATGAATATAAATCACTCATAAATCCTCACACACACCCCTCATTGAATAGTAGAATACTATTCAATATCACAAATAATCAAATAAAACAAGAAAACAATAATAACAAACAAAAGAAAACATAAACCAATAATAATTTCAATCTCAATCTCTGCTTACAATGAGACCAGTCCAAAAGACTTGCAACGACTTTATCCCTTGCTTCAGCTGCTGCTCTACGACGTGGTCTTCCTGATGACAACTGCGCTTTACCACTCAAAATGTCCCATTCATTAGCAACAGTGTCTTCAGTGGTTG